TATATATATATATATATATATATATATATATATTATATATATAGGTCGTGCCGAATATGTAAAACTGGTCAATTAGCAAGAACTCGTTTAAAATTAAGTCCTTTCTAAAATTTTCTTTTATACGTTTAAAGATATATTTTTTTCATTAATGTTAATGTTAAAAAAATTAATTTTGCATCAAAAGAATCTTAGAAAACTTACCTAACCTTATTATAACAAGAACAATTTATTTTAGTCTAACCCAACTAAATATATTTTAGATTTGTTTACAATAATTTAATACTAAACAAACACAGTGAAATACATTTTTTTTGTTAGGTTCAGAATGATTTTGGCGAAATTACTGCATAAACAAATTTTCGCTTGTCCTATATGGCAAGATGAACGTTGCTATTTAAGCCAAGATCGCAAGTTCTGCCTATTCGGCACGACATATATATATATATATATATATATATATATATATATATATATATATATATATATATATATATATATATATATATTATATATATATATATATATATATATATATATAATATATATATATATATATATATATATACATATATATATATATATATAATATTATATATATATAATATATATATATATATATATATATATAATTTTTATGAGTGGAACCCTATTAAAGTCATTAATGAAATCCGAATAAACAGAGTCATACTTTTTATCACAGTTTTTGAATAGACTGAGACGTACATATAGAATGTCAAATAGACACTTGTTCCTTGTATTGTGTCGCCTGTGTTGTGTCGCAACTCTCCTGTAAAGAGCCTGCACAGTAGAAAGTGTGAATATTTTGTGTTAAGCAAATTTAAACGTTTGAATAAGAGTGGTGTTTGTGGCCTGTAGCTACATGAGTGATTATTTTGAGAGTTGATTTTTGTCGAGTAACAAGACGTTTAAGGTGGTTAGCTGTTGCTTATTCCAATACAGTTACCATAGGTGAGATAGGGATCGATTAGAGAGCAATACAACGTAAGCAGGGATGACTCACGAAATCGTAATGACACGATTGCAAACAAACCATACCACGAGTGGGGTTTGAACCCGCGGTCAGAGACTCTGACCGCGGGTTCAAACCCCGCCAGTGGTATGGTTTGTTTTTTAAGCAGGGATGTTTGGGGGTTATAATAGCGTATTTCTGAGAGAGCGACAGCTGCTTTGGATGTTTTATAGAAATGTTCAGGATGTGTGTGTGTGTTGAATTCTAGTTTGCTCTCCATGTGTATTCCAAAGAATTTACCCACATCCTCAGTTCCCAGACATTATATAGATCCTCTTGTCTGTATTGAAAGTGAGCGTGTTAGTTGTCATCCAAGTAGATATTTCTGCAAGTCCTGTGTTCAGTGTTAAATTGAGTCGTGTCTATATTTGAAGTTACAGAAGTTGTCATCTGCAAACAGAATTGGTCGAAGTCCCTGTGAATGGTCAAGAAGGTCAGAGGACCTTGTGGAACCTCTCTGTTGATCGATCGGGTTGCTAAAGAACCATCATTAATATAATTAATGGTCACATGTTGATGTCTGTCGCTCAAATACGATTTCATGTATGAAAGAGCATGTTCTCTTGTTGGTATAGCACATCCATTTTGATTTCTTTATGGGCTTTGTGAGAGGAATAGTATATCTCCGGGGAAGTCCTTTAGGTATCAAGAGGCAAGTAAGTTTCCGCTTGTTCTAACAACATGTTCATTTTTCCACTATTATTTACATTGTCAATAATTACTATCACATTTGCTTTGTCTGAGGTCTTAGCTGTGCTCACACCTCTGCAACTCAATTATTATACCAACTGAATTAAGGAAAGACCCTAGACTTACGAAGCAGACAAAGCAAATGCGATAGTAATTGTGAACAAAGTAGATTACAATGGAAAAACGAACATGTCATTAGAAAATAAGGGTACTTACGTGCCCCTTGATCCTAACCTGTACTGCTTATTATAGTTATGCTTTTTGTCAATGGATCCGAGGATGCCATGGGTTAGCTATGGGCGCTTAGTTGTCACCTGTTTGGTTTTTAATAGGTAATGTCTATTGAAGAGGTCTTGCACTGTGTAAAGAAATATGTGAACACTAAACTTTAATGTTTTGATAATTGTCAGTCAGAGCTGCTGGCTGCCACTCTGAAGTTATTCACTGATGCCTCATATAGCCTATAGGAGAGTTTATTAGTTTCATGGTGTTATTTTGATAAGTTGGTGATTAGGAAGGTGAGGTAGTGATCAGTAACATTGTAATAATACCTGTTGTTTGAGGAGCTGGAATATTTGTCTGTACGTGGTCAAGCGATGTTGCACTAGTCTGTTATTCGTGTAGGCTTAGTTTTCTTGAGTATTAGTAAGCAAATGTTCCTATTATTAAGAAGTCTGTTACTTGGGGAGTCTCCTTATTGGATGAGGTTGATGTTGAAGTCACCAGGATGTTTCAAGTGATGTTTCATTTTGGATTTTGCTAATTATTGGGTCTTTGAGGCTTTCTTAAGGAGAACGCTAAATCAGTAGGGGTCATACATCGCCCGGGGAAGTGGGAAGTAATCAGATTAGATCTAAGGAAGGGGAAGGTAGCTCCAATTCCTTTGATCAAGAGCCCTTCAGCATCAACAAGTATGATGAAAAGTAGGGGCGCCACGAGTCCATTGAGAGACAACATATTAAGTGTCCGGGGCCCAAGACTGCTCAACTGCCTCCCAGCATACATAAGGGGGATTACCAGGAGACCCCTGGCTGTTTTTAAGAAGACACTGGACAGGCACCTGAAGTCAGTACCTGACTTGCGTGCGGCCAGCAGTAACAGCCTGGTTGTTCAGACTCTGATCCACCAAGAGGCCTGGTCTCAGACCGAGCCGCGGGGCGTTGACCCCCGAAATCCTCTCAAGGTAAACTCCAGGTAAGTGCTGAAGTCCGATTATCTGCCGAGGACTGTCTACCTTCCTTGATTAAGGTTGTCCAATCAGTTTTTATCATTTAGCTGATAATCAGCCAAGTGATAATTTCCTTAGTATCTTCGAGCGTTATTTATAGAAATGCTTTAATCCAGAAACAAAGTTTACATACACTTCGACATGCGCTTTACATACATATTTTTACTTATAAGCGATATTACTATTATTATTACAACCATAATTAAGCAGTAAACCCACTAGGGTCATATAATGCTGCCTTAGAAGGGAGAATCAGCATCCTAGAGTTCCTTCTGCCTCTGCTGAGTGGAAATACCGTGTTATTAATTGTATTCAAATATTGTCCAGATATTGATGAATCAACAACTAATCACATCAGAACTGGTGCAGTCATCAGGGAAGTGAACCTCTAAGCTGTACGTAACCTGCCCCTCAAAGGAGGTTCCTTGATGCTGGTGAGGGGCTCTTGATCCAGGGAACTGGATCTGTGCTCCGGTTCCCTAAATTGAGCCTGAATACCTTCCATCCCACCACATGCGCTGTATAATCCTACGGGTTTAGCGCTTCCCTGTGATTATAATAATAATGTACGTAACCTGAAGTAGCCATGGTTCCATTGTTGTAGTTTTTTGGGGTAAAAGGACATAAGAGCAATTAATAAGACATTTATTACGGCTTATTTAGTTCTCCGAGAACTTTATCAAGCAAATAATAATATGTAGTTTTAGTTCTAGTCTTAATTTAAGTCTGCCAAAAACGGAATTTTTGAGAAAATTTAATTGTGAGGTCTGTCACTCAAAAAAAGAGTAATTTGAACTTAAAACAGTGAGATAATTCAGATAACGTCAGTCTACGTGCGGCCAGCAGTAAGAACCTGGTTGATCAGGCCCTGATCTACCGCGAGGCCTGGTCACAGACCGGGCCGCGGGGGCGTTGACCCCCGAAAACCTCTCCAGGTACACTCCAGGTAATAAGAATACTACTCAGACTAGACCTACTTTTTTTTACCAGGAATAATCGACATTCCGAACTTAATTTAGTTGGACACCGCCTCTAAAACCAGGACGAATGAAATCCCCAGCCAAAGATGAAGATTTTTTTTCGGATTATTAATGATGATAGTAACCCAGGAAAACACAATAAAGCTAAACAGAGACTTTATTATAGAGTAATTGACAAATATAAACTATGGAAAGCCCCTTATTATGAAAGACCCACGTCAGGAAAAACCTTTCCTGTTTCCTAACAAACCTACCTAATTATGCAAAGCATTTCGGGTCTTAAATCTAAATTATGATTACTAGTATATGAGAAGAAGAATACTTGGTTTTTATTATATTGGAGGTATTTAGTAATTCAATGAAAAATCTAATTAGTGATATATTAAGGATGAAGCTAGGTACATGAGTTTCAGTAATGCTGGACAAGAACAGGGTTCCTTAATTCTCTCCCCAGGATGCGACCCACGCCAATCCGCTAACACTCGGATACCTACTTAATCCTAGACACGGTCCTTCAGTTATGACCTGAGGCTGCTACCAATTGAGCTGTGCATATTTTAAGCTCAAAATCTGTATCACATGTACGCTTTTTATGAGGATAAATTACCATTTTTATATCATATATACAAAACACGCCACAAACCTCCTGTCATTGATTACAATATATAATGAAAACTGAAACTAGGCAAACTTTTACCTCTTTTATTTACTGATCTATAGGATTACTCTACAAATTAACATAGAAACTGTTTAATATACAAATAATCACGTTAAACTAGTTATGAAATAGCTAGCGTGACGGAATGTATATTTAAAGTTAGCGCCAGGACTCTACTCTAGTTATCCATGGTCAAGGATATTGTCTTCCATCCTCGATACTACGAACTCCTGCTGGGCTCTCATCGTGTCGTGTATTCTTTTAACGGCATTTTATCTGTAATCTATAAACATTTATAAATCTTTTGATGGAGAAGTCATTTATTGTTAGATAAGGATAGCATAAAAAATCGAACGAGTAAATCTAGTGCTAAGTTCCAGCGCCATTTTCCTATTTGTTTGCAGCACTTCGTCATTGGTTCCAACACGATATGCAAAGAGAAAACACTTATTGTGAAATTCAATCAATAGAATGCTATTCGTTAGAGTTAAAATTTAATTTAGGGCCAGATTATCAAGACACGAGGCAAAAATTGGAAAATTATACAGTGAAAACTGCGCAAATAAGAATAACAGGAGTTAGTATTGGTTGTTTTAGAAGACTGCAGCCAAGAGTGGAGAAGCAGTTGACAAGTCTTGGTGAATGGAGCTCTCCACCGGTACCCGATGTAATATAATTGTGACCCAGGGTGGTTTGTAAACTGGGCTACAAGTTTGTTGTTGGTTGTGGAAGCCTCGCGTCTATATGTATGTGCGGTTGCCCCTGGTGACGGGGGTGGTGGCAAGCTGCAGACATTGGGCGCATAGCGAGCAAGCACGCTCTCAAAGTTCCCGTGTCTGGCAAGAACGGCTGTGCTGGTAGTCGTGATCGCGGCGGCCGTCGAGCCAATAAGGGTTCTGGAGGAGGAGGAGGGGCAGGAGGAGGAGGAGGCCCCCGTGCCGACCTGGTAGGCCTACCAGCCTCGACCAACCCGCCAGCGCCGCCCGTCATGAACCACGTCACTGAGCCACCCACCCCTGACAAGGACCTCGAGCTCATGGATACCCAGGAAGGTATAAATTGACTATTTGATGTCCAACAGCTATAATGTAATTTCGTTATGATGACACTTCATCTGTGTCTTCCATAAATTATAACTTTCAGTGTAGGTCCTGATGCCAAGAACCCCAGTGGAAATCAGTCAAATTGACTTTTTGGGTTATTCTAGGTAATTTACACTATGATTATTGTACTTTGGTGTACCTGTGCCTAAATAAACTTACTATGGTCATAGTACAGATATTTGCATTTCTCTATATATTCATTGAGAAGTTTATATATGCACTGATAGTTTACATCTCTCTCTCTCTCTCTTAGGAGTAAATTATTTTCAGTGTTGTGTAGATAAGTAACCTGACAATTCATACTGACCAATGAATTTTGTGCTTGCTGTCATATTTATACTATAATCTTAGATTCTGTTCTAAAATTGTATTTTTCTAATATAGCAATTCATTGAATCACTTTTCTTTTAAAAAAAATTGCACTACTGTATTAATGGGTACTTGCATCAGTATTCAGTTGAAAAGATTGCTGTGTTTTTTCTTAGCTTAATAAATTATGGTCATTTAGTTAGCTTGTCAGATTTCAGCCTAAACATAGGTTACGTAACTTCTATGATATTAAGTGGGTTTTACAGTGGAGACAGATCATAAAGAATAAAAAGGCAGAATACCATGACTGGAACAATACACTGGGGCGTTGACCCCCGAAGCCCTCTCCAGGTATACTGCAGGTAATAACCTGCATGTAGGAGACTGAAATGTATAAAGACATTTCAGTCAAACATAGACTATTAACTAGTCACACATGACCAGTTAATGGTTCAGGTCTTACCAAAATATCGTCATAACTTTGTCTTCTATGTGCAGGTTATTTTTGTATATAGATAATAGCTGATGTCTGCTACTCATCAAATTTTGGTCATTAATTATAGTTTCAACTGTAAAATATTAAATTGGTTTTGTAGTCAAGATTGTATGGCATGCAAATAATTAAAAAATGTAACCAGTCCTAACATAGCTATTATAACCTAACCTAACTTATAGTAGCTTAACCTTGTCCCATTCCATCAATCCTGGCAGGTCTTTGTTTATATTTAGCTGGCAAAAGATTCTCCTCAGTAGTAAGCATTGATTGGCTGAGACATGCTGCATAACCATAATTAATGGTGTTTTTGTTAAAATCTCCCAAAATAACAGTTTGCACAAGAAATATTTATTTTGTGATGTACATAGGTTGCATGTACTATATTGTAAAATGTAAACTAATGCCCGTGTTTTGCCAGGCAGTAGTCTGTAATTATAATCAATTTATATTTTTAATGTATTGGAAAAAAATATCTGGTTAAAAGAAAGAAGGGGAGGAACTCAACCAAACTTAACCTAGATTCTGGCTTATATTCTAGGATAGCTGTTAACCTAGAAGTTAGTTATTTGTTATGAGTTACAACTATGGGGAGGATTTAAAAACAGGATCTCAGTGGCATATATCCTGAGTCCATTAATCTTAAAAAAAAAAAAAGTCTAAATACATTTGTAACAAACCAAAATCATCGATGTGAATCTTAACAGCTTCCATCCACACTCCTGATAATAGTGGCAACTACTGTGGAAATATTTGATAAAAATATGTTAATAAATAATAAATTAATTTTTTTTCACTGACTAAGGAAGTGGCAGGCATTGTTTTGATTTTTAAGGTTTAACAAGTGGCTAAACCTTCCAGCTGGATAACTCACTGCTTTGAACATATCTTGAGAGCTAAGGAATGCATATTCCACGATGCCTTTTGCATAAAAATTATGATACTGCTTGTAGACTTGTTAACCCATGGTAAGGAGGTCAGACGTACATCCAACCATTCCCACTTGTGTATCTGTAACAATAGTAATCATTATTTCTACAAGTACATGTACAACATATACAGGCCTAGCTGACATCATTGATATACTACTATATAGAAAGCCCCTAGTTATGCAGAGCATTTTGGGCAAATTAGGTCAGTGTTGTCTCCAGGATGCAACCCACACCTGATGGCTAACACCCAGGTACTTATCTACTAGGTGAACAGGGACAGCAGATGTCTTAAGGAAACATGTCCTGATGTTTCCACCTGTACTAGGGATCGAACCACAAACCTCAGTGTGTGAGCTGAGTGCTCTAGTAGTCGAGCTCTGTAGTACATACACTGGTAATTACTTTTTTCATTGTATGTTATTTATCTTGAGAGCTAAGGAATACATATTCCACTATATCTTTAATGTAAAAACTATAACACTGCATGTAGACTTGTTGACCCAGGGAAAAGAGGTCATATGCACATCCAACCATTCCCACTCATGTATCTGTATTAATGAGAATTTTGTAATACATTGGTAATTACTTTTTTCATTGTAGGGTATATTCTAGCGTTTTGTGTACTGTTCGTTACATCAGAAGGCACTGTGAAAAAGCAGTGCATGCTCTACTGTAATTTTTTTTTTTCTGTGTAGGTAAATTACCATCATTGACTATCCTGTACCTGTAGCGTTTGTGTTCAAGATAAAAACAATGTAGGTATATATTAAGCATTATATTTTAAAAGCCCATACTGTGCACAGTATTTTCACAGAGCTAAAGCTAATATGGTAAATCTGTACAAATTTTCATTTAAAAAATTAGTCTGGTTACAGGTATTAGATAATGGAGTACTGAAATGTGTGTCAGTGAGAGGCTACCAATACTGTTCCATGAAGGTAATGTCATAAAATATGGGATGGGTAACAGTGTAAGGGCTATTATATAGTGTACTTTAATTTTATTAATAATGTACAGTATATAATATTGTTAATAGGCAGTGAGTTATGACAGCAATAGGGCTGAAAGTCTCGCAAGACACTAAAGCAATAGCAATGAGCATCATATCCCACCACTGTATCCCTAAATCTGCAGGGTGGTAAAAGTGAGGGCTAAAATAGTTTGGCAATTCTAAGGACAAAACCCTACTCCTGTCTGTATGCCATAAGTGCACATATTTTAATTTTTCAATTATATATTTGTAAATGTTGTAGTAATAAAGCAGTATGGTATGTTTTGCATTTTCCAGTTAAATTATTTTCATTTAAATATTGTTCTAGAGAATTCAGTACCATTAAATGTTTTTATTATTTTTATTTTAGAAGCGTATAATGTATCTGTTTGATAATATCCGTGGATAAGTTTTTTTTGTGTTTCATCTTGACTTTCATTTTTCTTAAATTTTTCTACTAATCAATTGTAATTTAATTACTGCTGTCCCTAATACGTATATTTATTTATTTACAGAGGAAGTGGCAGAAGAGGGTGGAGGGGATGGAGGAGGCGGAGGTGGAGGCGGAGGTGGTGGGGGTGGTGGTGGAGATGATGGAGGAGGGGTAACAATAGCTGAGGGCGGTGAAGAAGAACAAATGAATGGAGATACACAAGAAGTATCCTCCTCAACGACACCACATGACACTGAGATGGACGAAGGTACAATACTACACAAAATGATATCTAAAAGGAAAATTAATTAACTGAATGCTAGATATGAATACAGAGAACTCGTATCTAAAATATATTTTTATATCAGCACCTGTCTCTGTCCCGTTCTTATTTTTGTACAATGCTCTATAATGGGGAGTTGCCTTGGTGGGTTTAATTTCAAGCTTCACACCAGACCTTGCACACAGATATTGCAGGAAACAAATACATTTGCATCAGTGCTACAGCCTTGTCCTAAATTGATGTCAAACCCTAGGGCCAAATTTGATTCGAGTAGGGAGAGTGCAGAAGGAGCAGATGGGTGAATCTTTTTCACACTAATTTTTCTGAGAATAAGAAACAGTTTTGGAGAGAGATTAATAAGATGAGAAAATCTGGGAAGCACATGGGCTTGGCAGTAGAGAATGAGAAATGTGAGATATTATATGGGAAGATGCAGATACTGAGTTTTATAGAGAATCTCAAAAGTTATTAAATTTTAATTAAAGGGAGGTGGTGATTTTGTTCATGGTACAGGGAGGAATGTTAGAAAGAGGTGTGGGCTTAAAAGATAACAAATTTCATATGAAGTGGCATGACTCACGAAATCGTAATGACACGATTGCAAACAAACCATACCACTCTCTGACCGCGGGTTCAAATCCCGCCCGTGGTATGGTTTATGAAGTGGCAGTTTTCATATTATCTTTTCGCCAATGACACGGTTCTTTTGTAAGACTTTGAAGCAAAGTTAAAAAAAAGTTGGTGGAGGAGTTTGAAAAGTATATACAGAACGATATTCAAAGTGAATTATTATTTAAATACACTCTTAGCTGTCTTAGATGTCCTCATTTCAGCTAATTTGCTTTTTTTCTTTCAGTATTATTGGTTCCCTAACACACCTGAATGTATACTATACAATTTTGAATTTAATGGTTATAAAATAGTGATTATATACATAGGTACTGTACTTGATAAACAGTTTTTATATTTTAATGAGCCAATGAGTTTTTTTGTCATATACCAGTATTGTTAGGATCATTATAGAAGATTGCAGTATTTACTTTTAAATGGTGCTGTGTTCAATAAATTTGTCTCATATTTTCATATTATTGCTTATGTTCTCTTCAACAGATGATGCACGCTCAGAAGCAAAATTTCAGTATCGTGTTAAAGATTTCAGCAAGTTGAAGGACACAATGTTGTCACACCCATGTTATGTTCGTAATTTGCCTTGGAAGATTATGGTTATGCCAAGGACCAGTCAGTCTCAAGATCGTCAACCTCAACGATCTCTTGGATTCTTCCTGCAATGCAATGGAGAGTCAGAATCAACCTCTTGGTCGTGCAATGCTGTTGCAGAATTGCGCCTCCTCTCAGTGCGGGAGGGCGTAGCACCATTTACTCGAAGTTAGTGTAAAAGAATAAATTTTTCATGTAAGAACTGCTGCTTTTTAATTTGTTAACAGTGTGAAAAGCTTGAGAAATAGTTAGCTTTAAAGTTACTGATTGTTTTGTTTTTGTGTACCATTCCAGAAATTCAGCACTTATTTTACAGTAAAGAGAATGACTGGGGTTTTTCCCACTTCATGGCATGGAATGAAGTCCTGGACCCAGAGAAAGGATATATCAAAGATGATACAATTACGTTAGAGGTTAGTGCAACTCAGTATGGTTATTATTATTATATATTGGGACATGATTTTAGATAGCTGTGCAGCTTTCCAAGCATCAGATATTGTAATTGTGAATATACTTCCAGGTATGGGTCTCTGCAGATGCTCCACATGGTGTGTCATGGGATAGTAAAAAACATACCGGTTATGTTGGACTCAAGAATCAGGGTGCCACATGTTATATGAACTCCCTCCTTCAAGTTCTTTATTTTACAAGCCAGTTAAGAATGGTAAGTAATTGATAAAAAGTGATTTTAGAAGCCAGCACCTTGACTCATACAGTGTAGTATGGTTGCCAGGCGAGTTATGCATCACAGTTTAAGAACGAGCTACTCTACAGAAATGCAGTTTGCATGAATTTTTTATAATTGTAATTTTCATAATTATGATAAATATTTTTGGTTAAATAATCCTCGAAGTGCAGTAATCTGGATGACAAATAGCCATAAGCTTGTGAGTAGCTTTAAGCAAGGCCTAAAACTTTTCAATTTGTTTTTAATTTTCAATTATTGGATGAAAACGGAAATATAATACTGTATTCTTTGAATACCATAGTGTATTTGATTGTTATTTGTGAAGTTATTTACATTTTTCCCAACTATATTGTTAATCAGTAATGCATAAACTAGAGCAATGCTTTTAACACTTAAAGTTTAAGGCGCCGTGGAGTACAAATATTATATTTTATATATTGTCTGATGTCTTTAATTTTTTTGTCTTTTTTAGAAGAAGCATTAGAGAAAACTCAAGAAAAAAGTTTGGCAGAAATTGGAAGTCATTCAAATTAATGAAAAACATATTATAATTTTTTTTTATTTGGACAGTAACTTCCCTAATATGGGTAGTGTAAAAGTTTTTTGGGCAGTCTTTACTAATAAAGTAATGCATAATAAATTTTTCACTATTCAGAATTCTAAGTCATTTTTGTCCCCAACACACTTACATGGATGTGAAGCTTGGGTTGTGAATGCAGCAGCGAGGAGGAGGTTGGAGGCAGTGGAGATGTTCTGCCTAAGGGCAATGTGTGGTGTAAATATTATGCAGAAAATTCAGAGTGTGGAGTTAACCCTTGAACTGCCCAAATAGATCTATGTTCACATGCTTAATGCTCCAAAAGTAGATCTAAGTTTTTTACACATTTTCAAATGTAAAAAAAAAAAAAAGTCTACATTTTTTTACATTCAAATGTCGAAAAACGTAGATTTACGTTTGGACAGTTTAAGGGTTAATAAAAGTATTAGTCAGAGGGCTGAAGAGGGGTTGTTGAGGTGGTTTGGTCATTTAGAGAGAATGGATCAAAGTAGAATGACATGGAGAGTGTTTAAATTTGTAGGGGAAGGAAGGCAGGGTAGGGGTCCTCAAAAAGGTTGGAAGGAAGGGGTAAGGGAAGTTTTGTGGGCAAGGGGCTTGGACTTCCAGCAGGTGTGCGTGAGCGTGTTCGATAGGAGTGAATGGAGACGAATGGTATTTGGGACCTGATGATCTGTTGGAGTGTGAACAGGGTAATATTTAGTGAAGGGATTCAGGGAAACCGGTTATTTTTATATAGCCGGACTTGATTCCTGGAAATGGGAAGTATAATGCCTGCATTCTAAAGGAAGGGTTCGGGATATTGGCAGTTTGGAAGGATATGTTGTGTATCTTTATACGTATATGCTTTAAACTGTTGTGTTCTGAGCACCTCTGCAAAAACAGTGATTGTGTGTGAGTGAGTTGAAAGTGTTGAATGATGATGAAAGTATTTTCTTTTTGGGGATTTTCTTTCTTTTTGGGTCACCCTGCCTCGGTGGGAGACGGCCGACTTGTTAAAAAAGAAAAAAAAAATTTTTGTCCCCCAAAAATAAAGTTGGTGGTTTTTGATGAAATAAATTTATGGGTGGCAACCCATAAATGCAAAAATATTGAGGATATGTAGTAAAGGCAATAGTGGGATTACAAAACATATGTTGATGAATGCTTACTGTGAAATTAGTGTCATTTCATTCATTATTTATAGAGATAAATAGGTCAATAACTTATTTTTGAAATTGACAAAAATGGCAGCATCATCCCCTTGCAGGAAAAAATAATCATTTTTATTTTTTTGAGAGTGATTGACATTATTGATGTGTAAAAGTATACAAAAGGAGTGTAGTTCAACTCATCTTGTATAGTATACCCTAGTCACAGCACGTTTTCTCAAGTGGCAATGGGTTAGAGAGACCATAATATTCATATACTATACTTTTACTGTAAAGTGAATATATACACAGCCTCTCCTCACTTAGCGATGTACTTGTTTATCGATGACTTGTACTTAGGACGGACTCTCTGACCAGTATGCACACTTAAATAATGTATATTAGAGCTGATTGCCTCTATTCTGTTTATTACAATATGCAGTACACTGCTGTATTTTTTTTTTTTTTTTTTTTTCAACAAGTTGGTCGTCTCCCACCGAGGCAGGGTGACCCAAAAATGAAAGTAAAATCCCCAAAAAGAAAATACTTTCATCATCATTCAACACTTAAAAATATACTAAAAATTTTATAAATGGTTCTAAGGTGATATGAAAAATATCAAAGATGGTTGACACAAACCCAGTACCATGGTCTTAGGAATGGAACCCCGTCGTTAAGTGAGGAGAGACTGTACAGTGACATTAAACGGTTGTATCTGGGCACATTGGCAAAGAGAGTGATTATATGTGAATGATGGTGAAAGTTTCTTTCTTGGGTCACCCTGCCTTGGTGGGAGACGGCTGTTGTGTTGAAAAAAAAAGAACTCATTAGCTATGTGGTGAATATCTTCACTTGGTAATATTAAGGAATGGATTTTAGGAGTTTATTACATACCTATATGTAATAGTTTTGTCATGAAAAAACTGATATGCCCTCTGCCCCATTATACTCTCTTCTCTTGTATGCCCACTTCCCCCACCATCACTCCTGTGTCATGCCCACACCTGTGTGCAAGGGGCCTGGACGTGCAAGAGGCACATGTCAGCGTGTTAGGAGTGAATGGCGACAAATGGTTTGTAGGACCTGACAAGCTGTTGGAATGTGAGCAGGGTAATATTTTGTGAAGGGATTCAGGGAAACTGGTTAGCTTGACTTGAGTCCTGGAGGTGGGAAGTACAATGCCTGCACTTTAAAGGAGGGGTTTGAGATATTGGCTGTTTGGAGTGACGTCTAAACTGTCATATCTGGGCACCTCTGCAAAGACAATGAGCATGTGTGAATGATGGCAAAAATGTTGAATGATGGTGAAAGTGTTTCTTTTTTGAGTCACCATGCCTCATTTTAAGATGGCTGGCATGATAAAAAAAAAACCACAGTATATGTATGTATGTACTTATGCAGTATTTTAATAAAGGCATAGGTATATGTAGATAATGAGAGTAATCTTGTTTAATAAATGACACTTTCTTTAGGCTGTTTACAAAATGCCAACTGAAAGTGACGACTCTACCAAGAGTGTGGCATTGGCACTTCAGCGAGTGTTCCATGAACTCCAAACAAGTGACAAACCAGTGGGTACTAAGAAGCTCACCAAATCCTTTGGTTGGGAGACCTTAGATTCCTTCATGCAGCATGATGCTCAAGAATTTTTGAGAGTGGTAAGCTGAACTTTTCCATTAAACTCTTTTAATTAAAGAAAGTTTATCAGAACTCCTCAAAAATGCTTCCTTGACATCAGTGAGAGGCTCTTGCTCCAAGGAATTGCACCTAACTTCCCATTCCTTGGATTAAACTTAATTGTTTCTCGTTGCCCCAGGTGCAGAATGACTCCTAAGGATTTAGTGATCTCCCTCATAAATATATTTATAATAATCATAAACTGTTTGAAAATAGATCAGAAACTATTTGAAAATAGAAACTATATGAAAATTCCAGTTCCTTTAATTTTTCTGTAAATTGAAATATTTTTCCTGTTATCAGTGAGTAGAGTATTTCATATTTCATCTGCATGTTACATCACGTGTGCAGTTGTTTTATTCCTAATGGTAGGATTAATAATTCTTCAAAAAATACAGGTTTGAAAAAGTGTGTGAAATTAGAAACACTTAACCCTTTCACTGTTGGTCCCCTAATATTACGGCTTGCAAGCCAGTGTCAGTCCTGTAATAGTACGCCAAAATTCTAGCGGCTTCCAATCTTGTAGGAGAAAGCTGGTAGGCCTGCATATGAGAGAATGGGTCTTAAGTGGTCAGTGTGCGCAGTATACAAAAAAATCCTGCAGCAAACAGTGCATAATGAGAAAAACTCCTACAGTGTTTTTCGTTTAAAACAGCGACTTTGCGGTGTATTTTCATATGGTATTTATGGTTGCATTCTCGTTTTCTTGGTCTCATTTGATAGAATTGAAGATATATTATAGAAATTGATGATTTTGAATGGTTTACACACTAAAAGTAACTTGAAATTGAGCTCAAAGTCGCAGAAATGTTCAATTTTTACTGATTTTCGAGTAAACAGATCATGTCAGGGGTCCAATACATGTTACTTGGTGGGTCAGATATGCTTTCACAAATGCACTGATATTATTTATACCATTTTTACAGTAATGCAATAGTTTGCATAACAGTAAGTTTTCAATTTTTTGAGTGAATAAAAATTCAAAATGGAAAGCAAGCATAATGTAAGAGAGGCCTGGAAACATTACTAATGAACAGAGAAAATATTTTTTTAGTGCCATGAATGTTTGCATTGTTAATTCTGGACCCTATTTTGAAATTGGCCGTCCTTGAATTGTGTATGAAATTGGCCAAATTACCAATTTCTGATCACTATTGGGTAGTTGAAATTGGTAAATGGGCAGTTTCGTGTGCTCAGTCAGTAGTAGAAGAAAAGGAGTTCTACCGAAATAGCTGTGAATTCAGTCGACTGGAACAATTGAATTGGTCAAAAATAGGGCTCAAGTTTTGCAAAATAGGCGATGCGTAAATATATTCGTAAATATATAGATCGCTAACTCCGTAAGTTTTCCTTCAAACATCATACTTTTGGTGTCATTACCATCGGGAAAAGATTCTCTGTCATTTCCTAAGACAAAATAATTTTTTTCTTTAATTCTTCAACACTGAGAGCAAGTTTATGAGCAGGGGTCTCAACAGTGAAAGGGTTAAAAAAAATTGCATGGATTTTATGTATTGCTTGAGTGTGAGTAAGGTAAGGTTTGTGAAGGAATTCAAGGAAACTGGCTAGCAGGACTTAAGTTCTAGAGGTGGGAAATATAGTGTAATCTGAGTGTGAGGTTAGTGCACTTGTTAACCCTTTCGGTGTTCGTGCAACAATACTACACCATGAGCTCAGCTCACTTAGATAAGCTGTGAGCAGTAAATCTGGGTCTAGATGTGAGAAAATGGGTCTGCATGGTAAGTGCACGCTATATAAAAAAATGTTGCAGCATGTGCAAAATGAGAAGAAAGTGTGACTTTTTTTAGTTTAACCCTTTCAGGGTTTCGGCCGTACTAGTACGGCTTACGTGCTAGGGTCCTTGACGTACTAGTACTCATAAATTCTAGCACCTTTAAATCTAGTGAGAGAAAGCTGGTAGGTCTACATATGAAAGAATGGGTCCATGTGGTCAGTGTGTGCGATATAAAAAAAAATGCTGCAGCACACAGTGCGTAATGAGAAAAAAAAAACTTCGACCGTGTTTTTGGATTAAAACAGCGACTTTGCACTGTATTTTCGTATGGTATTTATTGTTGTATTCTAGTTTTCCTGGTCTCATTTGATAGAATGGAAGACATATTACAGAAATTGAGATGATTTTGACTGGTTTTACAAAGAAAAGTACATACCTTGAAATTGAGCTCATAGTAGCAGAAACGTTTGATTTTTATCAAAGTTTAGAAATAAACAAATCATGCTAAGCGTCCAATACACTTCAACTGGTGAGTCTAATGTTCTTTCACAAGTGTGCCAATATTATTTATACCATTTCTACACTAATGCAGTAGTCTGCATAACAGTAAATCATCTATTTTTTGTGAGAATAAAAATTCAAAATGGAAAGCAAAAGAATGTAAGAGGGGCATTGGGACATGACTAATGAACAGAGGAAATGTTATTTTAGTGCCAGGAATGTCTTTCTTGTTTTTCTGGACCCTATTTGGAAATTGGCATCTTTTGAAATTTGTGTGAAATTGGCAAAATTGCTAAATTCTGACCACCCATCGGTAAATGGGGGGTTTCTTGTACTCATTCGATAGAAAAAATGGAGTTCTAGCTACATAGGTATGTTTTTTGTTGACTAGTACAGTGGAATTGGCTGAAAATAGGGCTCAAAGTGGGCAAAATCGCCGATGCGTAAACATCGTCGAGACCGCTAAATTCGCGAGAGCATAATTCTGTAAGTTTTCCATCAAAATTCGTACTTTTGCTGTAATTATGATCAGGAAAAGATTCTTTTCATAAGATTTTTTTTTTTTTTTTTTTTTTTTTTTTAATTTGGGGGACCCTGAGAACAAGTCTCCGAGGGGGCCTGTGGACCCTGAAAGGGTTAATACAGTGATTTTACGGTGTATTTTTGTATGGCTTTTATGGTTGTATTCTTGCTTTCTTGGTCTCATTTGATAATGGAAGATATATTACAAAAATATAGGTGATTTTGATTGGTTTCAGGACTGAAAATTGTACTCAAAGTAGTGGAAATGTTTGATTTTTGCAGATTTATTATTATTTTATTATCACACTGGCCGATTCCCACCAAGGCAGGGTGGCCCGAAAAAGAAAAACTTTCACCATCATTCACTCCATCACTGTCTTGCCAGAAGGGTACTTTACACTACAGTTTTTAAACTGCAACATTAACACCCCTCCTTCAGAGTGCAGGCACTGTACTTCCCATCTCCAGGACTCAAGTCCGGCCTGCCGGTTTCCCTGAATCCCTTCATAAATGTTACTTTGCTCACACTCCAACAGCACGTCAAGTATTAAAAACCATTTGTCTCCATTCACTCCTATCAAACACGCTCACGCATGCCTGCTGGAAGTCCAAGCCCCTCGCACACAAAACCTCCTTTACCCCCTCCCTCCAACCTTTCCTAGGCCGACCCCTACCCTGCCTTCCTTCCACTACAGACTGATACACTCTTGAAGTCATTCTGTTTCGCTCCATTCTCTCTACATGTCCGAACCACCTCAACAACCCTTCCTCAGCCCTCTGGACAACAGTTTTGGTAATCCCGCACCTCCTCCTAACTTCCAAACTACGAATTCTCTGCATTATATTCACACCACACATTGCTCTCAGACATGACATCTCCACTGCCTCCAGCCTTCTCCTCGCTGCAACATTCATCACCCACGCTTCACACCCATATAAGAGCGTTGGTAAAACTATACTCTCATACATTCCCCTCTTTGCCTCCAAGGACAAAGTTCTTTGTCTCCACAGACTCCTAAGTGCACCACTCACTCTTTTTCCCTCATCAATTCTATGATTCACCTCATCTTTCATAGACCCATCCACTGACACGTCCACTCCCAAATATCTGAATACATTCACCTCCTCCATACTCTCTCCCTCCAATCTGATATTCAATCTTTCATCACCTAATCTTTTTGTTATCCTCATAACCTTACTCTTTCCTGTATTCACCTTTAATTTTCTTCTTTTGCACACCCTACCAAATTCATCCACCAATCTCTGCAACTTCTCTTCAGAATCTCCCAAGAGCACAGTGTCATCAGCAAAGAGCAGCTGTGACAACTCCCACTTTGTGTGTGATTCTTTATCTTTTAACTCCACGCCTCTTGCCAAGACCCTCGCATTTACTTCTCTTACAACCCCATCTATAAATATATTAAACAACCACGGTGACATCACACATCCTTGTCTAAGGCCTACTTTTACTGGGAAAAAATTTCCCTCTTTCCTACATACTCTAACTTGAGCCTCACTATCCTCGTAAAAACTCTTCACTGCTTTCAGTAACCTACCGCCTACACCATACACTTGCAACATCTGCCACATTGCCCCCCTATCCACCCTGTCATACGCCTTTTCCAAATCCATAAATGCCACAAAAACCTCTTTAGCCTTATCTAAATACTGTTCACTTATATGTTTCACTTATATGTTTACAGATATTCAAGAATAAACAAATCACGTCACTCATCCAATACACATCCAACTGGTGGGCCTAATATGCATTCACAAATGCACTGGTATTATTTATACAATTATTGCAATAACAGTAAATCTTCTTTTTTTTATGGCGAATAAAAATTCTTTGCGAAGAAAAAATCAAAATGAAATTCATATGTAAAGCCTGGGAACATAACTAATGAACAGTGGAAATGTTAGTGCAAGGAATGCCTGCACTGTTTATTCTGGGCCCTATTTTGAAATTTGTGTGAAATTGGCCAAATTACCAATTTCTGATCACTTTATTGGATACTTGAAATAGTTGATTGGGCAATTTCTTGGGCTCAGTAGATAAAATGGAAGACATACTAGTGAATTAACTAAGAATTTAGTCTACTGGAATAATGTAATTGGCCTTAAATAGGACTCAGTGGCCAAAATCGTCAATGCATAAATATCGCTACACAGCAAAATTTTCGAAAGCATAATTTTGTCAGTTTTCCATCAAATTTCATACTT